CTGCAGGACTGGCTAAGGGAAAGCCATGTGACCCAGTCCTGGCCAATGAGCTCCCAGAGGAAGCGTGTTGGGTGCTTTGGGAAACCTCTGTGTCTTTAGAGGAAGCTTGAGGGATGAGCAGGCTTCCTGGGGCTCGGGGCATTCGTGGGTGGAGGAAAGAGTCTGGGAGAGTCAACCTTAGTCCCATTTACCTCTGGCCCTGCCGTGTGGGCAGGCTAACTCCTACTCGGAGGCCAATGCCTACTGCTGCTGTGTCCTGGTATGCCATGAGTGGACATGGGGTACAAGGTGCTCTGTAACTCAGTTCTCTTCTCCTTGTCCATGTGGGGTCATGATGAGACGCCATGCTCATTAGGCTGTCCACTGACATAGACCCCTCCACCCACACTTTCTCTCTCCAGGCTGGTGGGATCCGAGCCCAGGTCATTCCAGGGGCTTCTGGATGGTTCCACCAGGCCTGCTCTCTGGACACACTCCTCAGACCCACGTCCCCCCTCCCGCCTCTCTCAGCATGTGGATGAGGCGACAAGGGAGCCTGGATTGCTGTATCTGCACAGCCGAGGTCCTGGGGACTCCTGCCCTGAACAGTCTTTCTTGGGTGTCTCTAAAGCCAACGCTCTGCTCACAGCCGCTAGAGAAGACGCAGGTCCCCTTGGGGCTCCTCAGGGACACGTTCACCTGGCAGACGCACTGCCTGGGGGTCTCCTCTCCAGGGCTCGTCCTGCCAGCGTGCTGCACTCGGGTCCCAGGAGTCTCATGTTTTCTACCAGTTTCCAAGGAACTGCGCTAAGCCCACGGTGCTGAAGGTCCGGAACCCTGTCCTGTTTCAGGTCTCCTCCTCCTCGGGCACCATCTACTATCCCCACCACTGAGGGGTGGAGCCCTCTGCTTCCTCAGCCTCTCAGGAGCCTTCCACACAGATGCCCATTCCCTCCCTCTTTGTATCTTATTATAAAAGATGCCCGGAACACATAAACCCCAGTAAAGACATAACACATGCAAAGCACAGAGGCGGGACCCTGGTGACGCAGCAGGGAAGCGCTCAGCTGCTAACCACAAGGTTGGTGGTTCGGACTTAGTCCCTTACTTAGTCCAAGGCTTCGGAGGAGAAAAGATCACAGCCTAGAAAAAGTATGGGCAGCAGCTGTGAGCTGGAAATTGACGCAATGACACAAAACAGCACCATCGTTCAAAGTACAATAAAACTGACATCTGTTAGCTCATCACCCTGCTTGAGAAACAGGTCAGTATTGCCACCTGTCTTGTGATAACTTTTACTGGAACACCGCCATGTCCACCGTGGGCACTGTGCCCATGGCTGCCTTTTGTGCTACCAAAGCAGTGGTGTGTGGTTGCAAAACAGACCTATGGCCCAAAGAGCCTAAAACGTTTCCTGTCTGGCCCTTTACAGCAAGTCTGCTGACCCTACGTTGGAACAGCTACTTTTTTTAATGTCTGTTATTTTGTTTGGAACGTCTAAATACTTAATCCCCTGGACATGTTGTCAGGAAGGGCCACACCCTGGAGAAGGACAGCATAAAAGAGGGAGACTCCCAGTGAGATGGAGCTGCCTCAGTGGTTCAAACACAGCAATTGGGATGGGGTGGCTACAGGTTGGAACGGCCTCGAACCCCAACAGCAACACTGGTGGAATGTTTTTAGTGACTCGCAACTGTGTCTCTGTCATTACTGTCGGGCGCAGAGCTCTAGGGTAACCATTATTCTCTCTCAGCACACTGCAGAGATCAGTCCAACATCTTCTGGTTTTCATTACTGCAGATGAGAAGTCAGCGATCGGTCAGACCCTCTGCAAGATAATCTGTCTTCTCTCTTTGACTACTTCCAAAATAATCACAGCACCTTTGGTGTTCCTCAGCTTGATTCCCATGTATTCAGGTATGTAGGGAGCTGCTGGATAGCGGCTGATGTGTTGGGCTGCTAACCACAGGTCAGCAGTTGGAGTCCACTGGACACTCCTCCGGAAAAAGATGAGGCTTTCTGTTCCCACACAGATTTATAGCCTTGGAGACCCTACACAGGGTCACTATGAGTAGGAACTGACTCACGGCACACAACCACCACCATCATCCAGGGATGTATTTTTTTTTTTTTTTCATTATTCATCTCAGGGTTTGTTAGAATTCCTGAAATTGAGGACTAGGATTTGGTAACACTTCCTGAAAATGCTCGGCTCGAATCCCTTCAGAAGTTGCCTTTGTCCCGTGTAGTCCTCCTTCTGAAGCTTTAGCCTGCGCAGGCTACACGCTCTCACTCTACTCCCCAGCCCTCTCACACACTTCATATCTCCGTGTCTCTCGGGATAATGTCTTTGCATCTAACATCCATTTATTAATTCTGTGGTATGTAATCTGCTGTTAAACCCATCTCGGTAATTTCAAGTATTACGTTTTAAATTTCTCAGCGTTCTATTTGGTGCTTTCTTAGAAAGATCTTCCTACTCTTTCTTCAGACTTGTTTCTTTTCTTTTCTTAATGTTTTATTGTGAATTATGTGATAGTTTACACGGGAGAATATTAGCTTTACATTCCTCCTATTGTATATCGTTTCATTGCCATGGTTACAATCCCCTCCATGCATCATCAACCAACCAAAGGGTACACCCTGCAAGCCTGCCCCCCCACCCCCACCCCCGGTCATCAGCACACAGCCCCTTTGCCTCTCTGGGTCTAAAGTCCCCAGCCGCTCCATCTCTCCACATCATCGTCTCTTCCTCCATCTCTGGCATCACTGTTTCTCTGGGTAGGGTCCCGCTCTCCGCTCTTCTCCCTTGATGGTCCCAAGGACCTCCGCTCTTGGACTGCAAAGTCAATCACTCACCTCCTTTTGCTACAAGATGTCTACCTTTACATTTCCAACCCTCACAATCAGTCCTGATAACAATTATTCACTATTGTATCACAAGAATATACAATTATTCACTATTGTATCCGGGTCTCCTTTCCTCAGCCCCACCTAGACAGACTGGACACTACACAGTGGCGAGTCTACCTTCCTCCAGGCCCTCTGGATCTAGGCTCCCTCTTGAAAGCTTGTAAGTCAGTCACTTCTTGTCTTTGTAGACCCCCCATTTTGGGTAGCCAGTGTCCAAGTTGCCCCTCCCTGTCTACTCTGTGTGTGGAGGGGGTGGGAATGATCCTCACTGTCAAGATTTATTCCCTCTTTTGAGCTACTGCATCCATAGCTGTAGGTTTCTTCAGTGTATTGTATTTTCTTGAGTGTATTGTCTAGAGTTACTTTACTCCTTCAAACATATTAGACAGCTGTTTAATACTTTACATCTGAGAATTCCAGGTCTTTTTTGTTATTTCTGACAGGGGACACAGAGGGCAGTCATGTTTATTGAGTGCAGTGTGTCCAGCCACAGAAGAGAGGCTGTTCTTCCTGAGAAACTTGGTAAGCACGGTTTTCACTGGTCAAGGAGAAGCAGACACCAAATAAACTCTTCTTTAAGAAAGCACACATACAACAAAAAACAACAAAATTTTGCTACACCGGAAAATGGCTCTGGCCTCATACCCTACACTAACTTCTTACAGTTAAAAAATGTACTTTGTTCAGAGTTGGGGGTGGGGTGGGTGAAGAGCTAGACAAAAAGAAACAAGAAAACTACGTGACAATGGACATTCACAAAACCATGACACAACTTTCTGTCACAAATTAACAATTGTAATGAAGCAATAGCCTCTCAGCAGTAAGAGCACAAAGCAGAGACAAAAGCTCAGGTAGGAAAACAGGTGAGTGCAAGTTTGAGCTGACTGTGTTCAGAAAACAGGGGGAAGATCAAAATGAAGATTTAAAGAAGGCGAAGGCAACACTGGAGTAGAAGAGACAGCGTTGTGATGGTTGTTGTCAGGTGTCGGCTCCAACTTCCAGTGACCCTGAACACAACAGAACACAACAGTGCCCGGTCCCACTGTGGGGCTGGAGCCCATAAATACGGCCTTTATTGTTGGGGATAGGGGAATTCAATTCAAGCTGTATTCAAAGCTTCTATGGGAAAAAATACATTACAATGGCCAGGAGAAGTCTGAAAAAGAGGAGCACCTAGAGCAGCCAGACGTAAAACGGACAACGGCCCTGCACTGCGCATGATCAGAGTAGCATATCAGTGGGATAGAATCCACAACCCAGACAGAGACCCAAACACAACGGGGCTTCCAGAAGTTTGTGGAAAACATGATGGAATTTTTCCATGAACTTCTGAAGTGTCCCCATACATATGGAAATACATTATCATGAAAGTGGGGTTTCAAACAGTGGGTCAAAATGACTCATCAGTAACTGGTATTGGAACATCTGAGGAGTCACCTGGTTTGGAAAAAAGAGTTGGGTTTCTACTTCAGATCACAGATTATAATAAATTCTAAATGGATTGTGGATCTAAGTATTCAATACAAAGTGAAACCACAGCTGTATTAGAAGAAATCATGGGAGGGTAATTTCTAATTTTGAAGTGGAAAAGGCATGTCTAGGGTTTATGGCACAAACACTAGACATGATTGAAAACGAAAACATTAATTTAACTACAGAAAAACAGAAAATACATGCATGCTGAAATCACAATGTTGTTGTTGTTAAGTACCGTGGAGTCGCTTCGGACTCATAGTGACCGTGCACAGGGTTCCCAAGGCTGCAAATCTTTACGGGAGCAAAAAGGCAAAAGACATGAAAAACTGGGGGCAAATATTTGCAATTCAGGTCTCAGAAAAGGCCTGATTTTTATCATGTGGATGAAGTTCCTACATACCATAAGGAGAAAGACATCTCAGTATACAAGGAAATATATAAATGGACAGAGAATGGACAAAAGAGGAAATGGAGATGACACTTAAGTGTGAGTTAAAACTAAACCATGAAACTGCAAAGATGATGTCTGTCAACTCTGTGTTGGAGAGGGCTGGGGGCAGGGTCTAAGGTGACCCCAACTACCCGAACTACAAGTGCATATGTCTTCACCAAAGCAGCCCCCTTTTAGGAATTTACACGTGGACTTCCATAGGCTCACTCTGGAAATCAGCTGAGCAGCCCACGATGTGAGACTGGTTAGGTGAAGCATGCACCCCGGGATAGTGGCGCACACTGCAGCTGGAAGGAAAGCCCAGGAAAGGTCTGGACGTGTGGACACAGTCCACGCAGTTCAAACACTGAGGGCTTCCAGTCTACTTCCACCTCCTTGCCTTCTGTCTGTGTCCCCAGTGGTCTCCAGACAGTTTGGTCTCTTTCTTCCTCCACCTTCTTGCTACACATTGGTTCCCCCAAAAGGAAGGCCCTTCAGATGGGTTTCCCATGAGTGTTATGGTGCAGCCTGAGCTCACGGTGCAGCCTGTAGGATCTATGGGGCAGTGATGACAGGGCAGCACAGGACCAGGACACACCCCTCGGAAGCTGGTGTCTCTGATGGAGCAATGTGACTCCCTGGGCAGGACTCACATTAGTCATCCTGTGAAGTGCATTCTAAGCCAATAGCCCCGATCTGCGTCCACTAGCAGACAAGGTCTCCCCACCATGCTGTGCGCCACATGCAGGCACCAAAGCTGAGGGAAGGAGACTATGGGTGACCCCTTGAGGGTTTTAACGTTAATGGGTGGGAACAGATCACTGGTAGGTTTGAACTGCCAACCTTTAGGTTTACAATAGTGAAATGTACGTGGAGACCTTTATACAGGTCCAATTTGAGACGCTGTGGTTTTGGTTCTAGACCACCACAATATAGCAAATATCACAATAAAGTGACTCTTCATATGCGTGTGACTATGGGTGGTGGGATAGGGGATGATGAGCTGCTGATTGCAAGGTCAGCAGTTCGAATACCTCATTCACGGCACGGGGGGTGGGGGGGGAAGAGGAGGCTCTCTGCTCCCACATCAGCATTTACAGCCTCAGAAACACGATACAGACCACTCTGAGTCGGAACAGACCCCAGTGGCACACCACCACCACCAAGTGAGGGCTCCCTGGTAATGCAGCAGTTAATCGCTCACCTGCTAACCAGAAGGTCGGCGGTGTGAACCCACCAGCTGATTTAAGGGAGGAAAATGTGACAGTATGCTTCTAGAAAGACTTACAGCCGGGAGAGTCTAGGAGTCAGCACTGACTGGACCATAACACGTTTGGTTTTTTGGCAAAAACAAAGCATGGGCACATGGAGAGGTGGCTCCCCCTCCGAAGCCTGAGGGAAGTCACCAGGTGCCCCCCTGGCAGCACTTGTAGAAACCCGTCTTTCCTACCTGGAGTTGAGTTCTCCTGGGAGGCAGGGCCAGAAGGACTGGAGCTTAGCTCTAGCAACTTCCACGTATCCTGGAGGGAGCTGCTAGCCACTGAAGACGTCGACCTCTGTGTCAGGGGCCCAGCCTCCTGGAGCACTTGGGCCTGTGGTAGCTTTGGGGACCTATTTTCTTTCTGATGGGCTGATTTGCAGGTTGGCGTGGGAATCCTGGACAGGGTCTACAAATACATGGAGAGAAAGTCATCCTTGGGAGTTGCCCCCTAAACACATGTTGAAGTCCGGACCCTGCAGCGGACTCTAACTTGTTTGGTAAGAGGAGGATTCTTTGCAGACATTATCAGTTAAATCAGACCAAATTGGACGTCTTCTAATCCTAATTCTAGTTTTACACAAGGAGAGAACAGACAAAAAATGAGCATCCCACGAGGTGGCCCTGTGTGAGTTCCTGCTTACAAGGCAAGGAATACCAAGCAGCAAGCACCTGGGGTCGTGAGGGACCAGGCCGGACCCTCCCCAGAGGACGGAGAGCAGGGACCAAGCAGGAGCCTGAGGTAAGGAGCCTCTCAAGAGGCATTTCATTGCAGCTGCCCTGGGGCACTGAGCTCTCTTCAGCCTGGGGGAAGTGATGGGCCTGCCCAGTTCACACCAAGTCACAGGCCCATGGGAGGGGGTCCGGCTCAGAGGTGGACGGTCAGAGGGAGGTGCAGGAAGCCTGTATCTGCCTAGCATGTGCTGGGGATGTTGGGGTGTCCCTGCTACATGATGAGCCAGGTAACTTGGACATTGAAGGCTGAGTGACTGGAGAGGAGCCTGGGAAGCAGGTGCCATGGAGAACATGCCGCAAGTACACAGGAGGGTCACTCTGTGGTCTCTGTGTGTGTGTGTGTGGTGGTGGTGGTGGTGGTGGGGAGAACACGGGACGTGTGGCCAAACGCCTCCATAAACAACGGCTGCTTTGCCACCAGACCAGAAGAGCTGAGTGGTGCCCGTTCCCATGACTGACATTTGGATCAATGATTCCACAAAAGAATCCTGATCCCAAGACGGAAAACTGAAAATATGGACTCCAGACTTTGTGGAGCCAAGTGGGTTGCATAGACCCCTGGAACGACTGCCCTAAGATAATTTTTAAACCTTAAGCCCAAAAGAACCCCTGCTATTTATTGGTCTTCTTAAAACCAAACAATTTCACTGAACTACTATGGAATGTCTGCCTTGAGCAGTCTGCTTCTTTAAAATCTGTTTCTATTGGATCTGACAACAGTTAACTCAAAAGATTAGATCAGAGCCTTAGGGGGCGGGGGTCCACCTATAGGGGGGAGGGGCAGCTCAGAAAGGAGCATGACTTGGAGACTGTAATCAGTAACACGGAGCACACATGTGGAAACTTGAACTGTGGCATTTTTTGCTGTTTATTTTCAACAACAAAAATGTAAAATAAATGGTCTAAGTATAATTATATCTATGGAGTCCTGGTGAGGCGCTGTGGATTAATGCGCTGGACTGCACAGTCACTTTGAACTGCAAGGCTGATGGTTCGAGCTCACCAGCCGCTCCTTGGAAACCCTATATAGGGTGGCTATGAGTTGGCACTTAACAACAACATATATGTGTATATATATGTATATGTATATATGTATATATATATATATATGGAGTCGTGGTGTGGCGCAACTATAGGATAAGCACTGGACTGTAAGGTTGGCTTGAACTACAAGGTTGGCAGTTCAAACTCACTAGCTGTTCCTCGGAAACTCTACGCAGGGTCCCTATGAGTCGGAACCGACTCGACGGCACACTATTACCATATATAAAGTAGGGTTTCCGAAATCGTAAATCTTTATGGGAGCAGAAAGCCTCATCTTTCTCCCACGGAATGCTGGGTGGATTTGAACTGCTGACCCTGCGATGAGCAGCACAGTGTGTGCCCACTACACTTCCAGGGTTCCTTTCCACATGTATGTACGTACAAGCATCTGAAAGCCTGTTTCTTAGAGAACAGATTGCTACCTGAACTGTGAAGTGCGGCTGCACTTGTCCCAAGGGCAGGCCACGGTCCAGTGGTGACTCAGGCTCCTGACCTGGGCTCCGGGTCTCGGGGGCAGGAAGACGGGAGAGGCAAGATGATGTCCCTACAAGCAAGGGGAGGGAAAGGGTGTCCTGTGAGTGCGTATCACTTTAGACTTCTCCCTGGCAGAAAACAAACACTCCAAAAGGACAGCATATCCCCAAACCAAAGTAACTTCCACCCTACAGAAACTGGAAACCGTGTACACCAACATCTTACAGACCTACAGAATGTGTACACACATCACCAGACACACAGCTTGTCAAAAACTGTGTCAGACAGGAGCACATTCAGCAACAGACCCAAAGACAGATCCCTTCCATAGTGTACGAAAACAAGAGGCAAGGCGCACACACATACAAGCTGCGCAGAGACAAGGTCTCCACAGTGCATGTTCCCCAGACATCAGACCCAGATTGGAAACCAGCAATTCTGTTGGAACTTTATCTTCAAGCTGACACACTACAAAACACGGTTGCTACTGAAATCACATTTCTCAGAATGATGATCACCTGGTGGAACACAGCTTACTGAGGACCCCAAAAGGGTTGCTTGGTTCGTGTGCATGCCTGTGTGTTACAACCACTAATATTTACTGAATTGGAAACTGACATAGAAGTCTTTTAAAACCTTATTGGACAATGGCCACTCGCTTAGGTCTCCAGGGTTGCTATAACACAGACACCATGAGTGGGAAACGCGAATACACAGAACTGTTTCCCTGCAATTCTGGAGGTCAGAAGCTCAAATTCAGGGTGTTAGTGTAGGGAAAGGCTTTGGGGGAAGGTGTTTTCTTTCAACATCTGTGAGCCAGTGTTCCTTGGAGCTCTTAACGTCAGTGTCTTAACGTCAGTCTTGCCCTGGGTCTAGACGGTTCTCAGCACAGGGATAAAAGGTGTTGTTGGCCACAGCCCAGGGAGACTCCCCTTCCAAGGACCAGAGCTGGGCCCGGAGGGTGCTGCAGCCCACCCTAACGCCCCCTTCCAGCTGATTGGCTGATCACATCAGACCACTGAAAACCATGCTCCAGCTAAGTTGACACATATTTTGGGGACAGAGTTCAACCCAGGATGGCCACAATGACCACTGTGTGTGGTTGGGATCCTCCTAGCTAGCTGTTGTGTCCGTTCCTGGAAATTGGGATGGCATCAGCCACATCACACGTGGGCCCTTTCTCCAACCTTTGTACCAGTTCTGACACCAGCTGTGCCTCCAATCACCACACAGAACTCAAAGACAGTTGTCATGGTAATTGGGGTTCATTTGTGGAACGAGCCTGTCAAGGGTTTCTGAGGAGAAGCGGCTGGTGGGTATGAACTGCCAACCTAGCAGGACTCCCATTAGTGCAGTTTGTCGTTGTTGTTGTTAAGTGCTCTTGAGTCAGCTCCAACTCATAAGGACCCTATTATAGGGTTCCCAAAGAGCAGCTGGTGAGCTTGCACTGAGGACCTTGCAGTCAGCGCATTAACTCGCAGCCCCACACCAGGACTCTGCTACCGCAGTCTCAGGTTCTACTTCTGGGGTAGGGAAGGACCAGGCCAGTTCCTCAGCAGCCATGCCTCTGAGCTCTTGGCCCTTCAGGCCCCCAGCCTTCCAGCGTCTCTCCCGACCAGCAAGTGCTACAATGCATCAGCAAGCCTCACCCCAACCCAGAGGTGCTCAGCTCTCCAGTCAGTGGGCCATGCACTGGGGGGGCAAGGCCAGCTCCCACGAAGACAAGTGCCAGAAGCATCCAGTTAATCCAGGACACCTGCTGCCCAAAGGCAAAGTCTGGCCACTAGCTCACAAGGAGCCTTCTGGCTGGACTGCCTCCAAGGCCGATTCGTTCATTCTGGTGCTTGTGCACTGTGGAGTCGGTTCCGACTCTAGAGACCCTGGCTAGGCTTTCCCAGGAGGCCATCTTTCTCCCGTGAGTCTTCTCAACTATCAACAGCGCAGTTCAGACACATTGGCTTTCCTTCTGTCTTCACTGTCCAGCTTTTACATGCATACAACACAACTGAAGTGACAGAGGTTTTGCTTTCTGGTTTTCTAAGCATCTTGGTAGCATTCTGAAGCTAGCTCGGACCTCAATCTCCTGAGATAGACCCTCACCTCAAGTAAAGGACCTGTCCCCCCCACAATATGCAAGGGCGTGTGAAAAACAAAAGGTGGAGGTAGATGCATTTTCCTTGGTTTATAACACATAATATTTTAAAGCTATAAAATGTGTCAAAATCTTTGCCAAATTTGCTTTCAATAAGTTTCCTTCCCTGGTTTACTATTGATTTGTCTTAGCCTAAAATACAAAAGGGTATTAGTCATCTTCTGTGCAATTTGCTCATATAGCAATGATTTTTACCAGAACAGTAATTTTCTGTGCTTTATGCTGGCTTGATTATTTATGAAAACAGCACTGTCTCGTTTAAGAAAGATCCCATGTTCTTTATGCTGAGGTTTGTCTTACACACTTTGTTACGCTTTTCGTCTGGGCAGACAATGATTGTTTCTCAGGTACCCAGAATCCTGTCTGAAATGCTCAAAACCCGACAATTTGTGATTTCTTTTCCTCTTGAAAACCCTAAAAATGAACTTTAGTGGTGCTGTAGAATAAGCACTGAGCTGCTAACTGTAAGGTTGATGGTTCAAACCCACTCCTCGGGAAACAGATGAGGCTTTTTGCTCCCTCAGAGAATGACAGCTTCAGAACCCTTACATAGGGTGATGAGCTGGGAGCTACTTGGTAACAGTAGGTTTGTGGGTAAATCCTAAATGCAAAATAAAACTTTCTTGTTTTCCCACCCAGTCCAGAGAGCGAGGCGGGAAGAATTCAGTTTACCCATTTGCTGTGGGCATTGGCCGCCCTCCTCTTCCAGGGGCAAAGTGTTGTAAATACAGTGGTGGTGGCGGCGTGCTGTGGACCCGGTTCTGATGCACAGTGACCTTGCGTAGGGTTTCTGTGGCTGTAAATCTTCACGGGAGCAGAAAGCCTCATCTTTCTCCTGTTGTAAATATGAGGCACCTGGGAACAAGTGGTGGCGTGGGGTGTCCCCAGGGCCTGGGAGTGTTCTTGTGGCTGTGAGCCACCTCTGTCCCCCAGAGGCTGGTGCCTGCGTCCGTCCATGCACTGGGACCCCTCACTACCCCAGCTGTTTTTCAGACTTGTTTCATGTCAGTCTGGTGGCTCTGTCAGGGATGGTGGTCCGGTTCACGCAGCCTTCCTGTGGACAGATGAGCAGGGCTGGCTCCAGACGTGAAGACTCTATTCACTATGCGCACTATAGTCCTTGTTCTCAGGCCTGTTTTATGTTAGACCCCAACATTATCAGGGTCGCTATAAGTCAGAACCGAAGCGATGGCACTTAACAACAGTGATGTGTGTCCATTTTTATAGCCCAGATGCATCCTTCTTCTTGGACATTTTTCTTCAGGAAGCTAACCATGCCAACCTGAAGTCCTGTGTAACTTTCTGGCTCACTCCACTGCACCCACCAATGCTGGAGACTGTTCTCATCAGGGACCCTCTCAGAGCCCTGGGGGAAGGGTGGGACACCTGTGCTGGTACCCTAGGCATGGGCACCGTGTCATGGTGAGTCAGGATTTCCAGAACATTCTCAGAGAGGCAGGGGGGTTTGGGAAGCCCACTGGAACTGAGCTGACTCCGAAGGGCTGGGTTAGGATGACTTTGGAAGGGTCTTTAATGCTCTGCTTCCCAGACTCATCCCAACCCAAATCAGACACATTGCTGGTGAGCTCCATGCTATATGGAGAACTGGGCTCTTCCTCCCAGTAGTGGGTCTCCAGGCCAGTCTCCCACAGCCCTGTAGGGTGGGCTCAAACCTTCAACCCTCCCGAGTCCACAAAGCCAAGTGTTGTTGTTGTTATTAAGTACCGTGGAGTGGGTTCTGACTCATAGCGACCCTGTACAAGGTTTCCGAGGCTGTAAATCTTTACGGGAGCAGAAAGCATCATTTTTCTCCCACAGAACAGCTGGTAGTTTCGAACTGCTGACTTTGCGGTTGGTTCTCAGCTGGATTGGTAACCACTACGCTCCCAGAGCTCCAAGTGATCCCAGCAGAAACCTTTTCAGACAGTAAATATGCTCTTCCGCTTCTTAAGTGACCAGCCACCTACAATCCAGTGAAGGGCAAAAGACATCCCGGAATTCCTGGAATTTGAAGGATTGTGATTTTCATGGTAATGTAGCTATTTGCATAGGTTCCTGCAAAGTCACATTTGGTGAAAATAACAGCTGACCATAAGGAGGGAAACTGGCCTGGTACCTGGCTTACAGGCAAGGAAGGCAGGCCAGCAACCGAGGACAGAGACGTGTGGACAGAGGTATTGTAGGAGAGCCTGCGTTACCTGCATGGCCTCCCACCAACAGGGACTTCCAGAAGTGCAGTCTGAGGTTCCTCACGAACACTGCAGTAGAGCAGACTTGAGGCTCACTCCTGCACCTAGGCCCTACTTTGTCATCAAGAAGAATCTTTTCTTGAGATTATTCTTAGAAAGCAAACAAACAAACAAACAAACAAACTCTTAACAGAAGCTTAGTCAGCCTCGCCCCTTTTCTCCCTCCTGTCCCTGATAACCACTAGTGACCATTCTAGGAATTTCCTGAGAGTGGGTTCCGACAGTATTGGTCCTTTTGTGACTGACTTCTTTCATGGTTTGAAGGTTCACTTCTGCAGCCGACCAGAGCTCCACGTTTTATCCATTCTGCAGGTGGGCACTGAGACGCTTCCCACCACTTGGGATCTGTTTGTGACCCTCCCTTCAATACGATTGTGTTTATCAGAAGCTGGGAGATTGTAGAGAACGCCCCCAGGGCTTCAAAGCAAACTGAGCATTGTCTGGGTACCTCCTTGGTATCTGGCTTTGTCTGGCTGTTTGTTGACAATTCTGCCTTGACCCCTGGAGTTTGGACCAACTTCCCTCCCCTTTGGAAGAACCAGTTTTGCCTCCGTTTGCAACTCAGTTCCTCTGCCCTGTGGAAGTCTGTGTTTGTTGACCTTTCCTTTCCTGGTTCCCTCACTGCTTAATGAAGAGAAGAACATCTTTAACAAGCATCTCTTTTCTGTCTGGCTGTCTTTTTTCTGAAAATTCTCACACATGGGTCCAGAGGACAAGCAGAAGTCATAGCGGTCAGCGTTGGGAAGGAGGCTGTGGGCCGGGACTCTGAGGGGCAGTCAGGGAGGACACTGTGCTTCCTGGCCACTGATGACCATGAGGTGAGCGGACCTGGTAGGGGCAATGGTGAGAAGGTGGAGCCACCAAACCAAACCAGTGCCACTGAGGGGATCCCGACTCACAGCGACCTGAAGGACTGAGTAGAACCGCCCCTTTGGGTCTCCGAGATGGCCAATCTTTATGGGAGTAGACAGCCTCATCTTTCTACTGGGGGTTCAAACCGCTGACCTTGTGGTTAACAGTCCAACAAGCAACCGACTAGGCCACCAGGGTTCCTTAGTGTCTTTTGCTCTTGAGACCCCAGCCTTTAAAACTAAATCATGGGGGAGGGGGAGAAGCGGAAAGATTGAGCTGATCCAAGCTGATGAACTTGACCTATGCATACGAATGCAGTGACACAAAGAAACAATCCCACCCCCTCCACACACAGAGTAGACAGAGAGGGGCAACTTGGTGGGGAGGGAGGGACTACAAAGGCAAGAAGTGACTGGCTTACAAGCTTTCAAGAGGGACCCTAGAGCTAGGGGGCATGGAGGAAGGCAGAATCACCAGTGAGTACCATCCAATTTGTCTAGGTGGAGCTGATGGAATGAAATACAGATGGGTTACATGCGATACTGTAGTGAATAATGGTTATCAAGACGGATTGTGAGGGTTGGAAATGCAAGGGTAGATGTTTTGTAGCAAGGAAGAGAGCAATTATTTCTCCAGTCTAGGAGTGGAGGTCTCTGGGACCACCAACGGATAAGAGCCGAGAACAGGACCCCACCCAGAGAACCGGAGATGCCTGAGATGGAGACAGAGATGATGACATGGAAGGATGAAGCGGCTGGGGACTTTGGATCCAGAGAGGGAGAGGAACTGTGGGCCGAAGACTGAGGAGGGAGTGTAGAGCAGGGCTTTTAAGATATGCCCTTTGGTCAGAAGACGATGCATGGAGGGGATTGGAACCATGGCAATGTAATGATATACGATGGAATGAATATGGAACTGAGGTTCTCTCATGTAAACTATTATATAATTCACAATAAAACATTAAAAAAAAACAAAACCACCCGAGGGAAAGGCCAGACCCAGGACCCAGATACAGCTGCACAAAGACCTCATTCAAACTGTGACTCCAAGTTTCCTTAAACCGGACAGAGCATGAAGGCCTAGGCTTTGGATGCCTCACCCGTCCAGTCCGCTTGGTGTGGTTCACACTGGTTTTCCACATGTTATACAAGAGAGTAAGGAGGGTTGCTTTGCGCTAGGCATTGAGCTGCTAAGCTCAGGGTTGGTAGTTCAAACCTACCAGCGGCTCTGTGGGAGAAGGATGAGGCTGTCTGCTCCCATAAAGACTTACAGTTTGGAAACTCTATATGGGGCCGCTACAAGTCGGAGCCCACTCAATGGCGGTGGGTTGGATGATGCTGTTAGCAATCCTAGTTGTGCAGTGAGTTAAGCAAACTCAGCAGTTGCTCCGTGGGAGAAAGATGAGGCTGTGTGATCCCGTAAAGATGACAGCCTTGGGAACCCAGAGGGGCGGTTCTACTCTGCCCTGAAGGCTTCCCAGAAGTCCCCAGACTGGACATGAGGACAGTGGGTTAGGAAGCTGCTGGTAGAGAGGGTAGTTTTATGAGGAGGAGGACACGGAAGTGCAGCTCAGTGCTATAGTTTTATTGTTGTCATTGTTAAGTGCCAGTGAGTTGGTTCCAACTCATAGTGACCCTGTACAGGGTTTTCAAGTAACAGTTGGTGAGCTTGAACCGCCAACCTTGCAGTTCAAACTGACCTCACAGTCCAGCGCTTTAGCCCGTGGCAGATTAAAAGCTGCAAAATCGCCAAATGGCAGACCGAGGGCACACTTCTGCGTTTCTTGTTCTAGAATGAGGGAAGGAGACAGCACATGTCACCAGACTCTAATCTTTGTGTCCTTCAAAGCTGCGGTCATTATTTCACTTTTTTCCACAGAAAGAGCTTCTCAATATGTTTATTTTCATTAAATTCTTAGAAAAGTGAAAGGAAAAAAAAAAGACTGTTGCTAAGTGTGCTGGCTGAGGTCGGTTTGTTGTTAAATGCGGTTTAGCCAGTTCCCACTCCAAGCGACCCTGTCTTGGATCATCATCTGTCCATAGTTCAAGTCCTCTTTGCTTCCCACAAGCAAGGCTATATGTCAGGTGGCCAATGAGACTTCCTCCCATCCTGATGCCACGGTCTCCTTCCTACAATCCAGCTTCCCAGGTTCTTTGTCGGCGTACAGATTGAATAAGTGTGGTGAAAGAATACAACCTGGTCAGACACCTCTCGGGATTTTAAACCCTTCAGTATCTCCTTGTTGTGTCCAAATGACTGCCCCTTGTTCTATGTACAGGTTCCTTAAGTGACGTGTTCAGGAAGGAATACCCCTTCTTGGCAATGTTATCCGTAGATTGTCATGATCCACACAGTTGAAAGTCTTTGCCTAGTCATTAAAGCACAAGCAGACATCTTCCTGGTATTCTCTGCTTTCAGCTGAGATCCATCTGATGTCAGCAGCGATGTCAGTCCCACGTCCTCCTCGGAAGGCAGCTCCCTGTTGCTGTACTGGTGCAACAGCTTTTGAATGATCTTCGGTCACATTTGACCTGCATGTAGCATTCATAATATCAGTTGATGATTTCTGCATTCCGTTGGGTCACATTTCTTTGGAACGGGCACAGATATGGATCTCTTCCAAATGTCTTGGCATAGACATGAATCCATTTTCTGAAACATTTCAATTTGTATTTCGTCAAGTCCTGGAGCCTTGGTTTTTGTCAATGTCGTCAGTGCAGATTGCACTTAGCAGTAAGTTCTGTGTCCTGTACACAGAGGACCCCATAGCTTCTTTTCAAGCCTACAGGGAGCCCCATTTTCTGACCCCATTGAAATCAGAATGAGGCACAGCTATCAAAAGCCTTTAATAAATAATTAGAAAATGATCAACTCTCTCCCTTATAACCTTGCATGAAAAAGAAAAATGGAACCCACAGCGGCAGAATTTCTAGAAATGAATTACAATCATGATACTACAGTGGTCGCCATCAAGATCCCCGGCTCATGGTGACCCCAGTGATGGATGAGAACTGCCCCCTTGGGGTTCTCTTGGCTGGGGTCTTTAGAGAAAACCTGTATTCTGCAGGACTGCTGGGTGGGTTCAGACCACCAAACTGGTGATTAGCAGCTAGGCACTTAACCACAATGCTCTTAGAGCTCCTTATACAATACCTGGAGTCCTGGGGTGGTGCTGGGGGTTAATGCACCAGACTGCAAAGCCATTTGAACTGCAAGGTCGGCGGTTCAGGCTCACCAGCTGCTCCTCAGAAGCCCTATACAGTGTCGCTAGGGGTCGGAATCGACTCGATGGCACTTGACGACAACAATGTACAGTATCTAACACAACACTAGACCTCAAGGTCTCTGGGATATGGCTAAAGCTATAGTCAAATGAAATTAAGAAAAGCAATTTTTAAATAAAGATTAAATACAATTAACATCAAACACTCAGCTGAAGAAATAAGGGACCAAACAATGAAACAAACCCAAGGAATGGAATGAGCCAAGACGCCACAGAACCTTCCGGTCAGGATGGAAGACGGGGCAGACACGGCAATAATCCATCAGCTCCAAAGAGTGACATTTGGAGAGACCTTCTGGAAGGGAGGAGGGAGCGGGAATTCTCTCCACAAACATGTCAAGTACCACGTCTGAGATGTCTGGCAAGATCTCCCGAGACCGGAAAGAAATGGAAACAGTAGCAATTTGAGGACTAGTTGGTGACTGAGAGTCTTCAAGGAAACACGGGTCTGAGCAGGAGAAAGCAAAGGCCACTAGAGCAGAGACGGCAGACAAGAGATGAAGAGAAAAGATTCAGAAGCTGCCGGGGTTTGGGAACCATAGACCCTCCACTGAGGCATGGCAAGTCTTCAAGGCACAACTGTAAGGACTACAGGAAAAGCCCACCTCAGCTGAGCCATCCTTCAAAACTACGGTCAAAATGAACGGCCTCTCACCTCGTGTGGACTGTTACTGACTGGATACCTGAATGTAGGGCAGGTCTACCCCGCCCCGAATGCGTTCTCAGAAAGGAAAGCCTGGCCTTGTATCTGACCCAAATCAAGTCGTGTGACTGGCACCCTCCCTGTGGCCTCAGTGTGAACAAGGAGGTACTGTCTGAGAAGGCAGCGCTCGCTCGGCAGCCATCCTCAGGCAGCTGGGTGAGAAAGGGCCTGAGGATTAGCAGTCACCATTCTGGGCACATAGGCCTTGGGGGACCGCAGTCCAAGCACTGGATTTGACAGTGGCTAATTCCTTTAAAGAGAGTGAATTTACACCAGGGCATGAAGGCCACACCTGGAGCTAGTGCAGGGCCAAAGGCTGGGGACCCAGGGACCTGGGGGCACTCCTCCAGACCCCAGTAGGTAACTTGTCCCAAAGTGGCAAGTTTCAGTGTCAAGCACTTGCAAAATCCAAAAAAATCACATGCAAGAGGATTTAAGATATGAATGTAACAAATGATCGACAACTCTAAATGGGAACCTTACTATTCATCCACGCATGCCAGTCTAGATGGGTACGGGGTTCACTGGTAATCAGCTAGAAAACATGAAGCTGAGTTCCAAGTTTGTTCGGTTCTTAGAAAATCATTTCCAGATGGGTCAAAGATTTTCTTGCAAAAATAAATAAGTAAAATCACAGAAATACTAGAAGAGGACGTGAGTAAGCATTTCTCATAAGTTTGAAGTGGAAGGCCCAACCCAACATCCACAGACTATGAATTAACTCCACTCTACGGGCATAAACACCACAGAACAAAGTACAGCCAGGCGGAACGTTCTGGTGCCCCGAGGAGGTGGAGGACGCGCAACCTCACTACTGCCCGGGAATGGCAGCCACTTTGAGAGCCGGTGGTTCTGCAAACCAATGGACACAGAGCTACCATCTGACCCTGCACAGCAGCAGGCCCATGACAGCAGTGTTTTCCATAAAAGTTAAAAGGTTTAAACATCCATCGGCTGACAAATGTGTATGCGCAGAGACCCGTGAACACATGGAACATCATTCCGCCATCAAATAGAAGAAATCCTGTCACATGCCAAAACCCGATGACACTTGAAATACGCTGCTGAGTGACAGAAGCCAGACACAAAAGGACGCGCACTGTGGGGTTTGACAGACATGAAGTGCCCAGACTAGGCAAATCCACAGAGATAGGAGGCTGGGAGTGGGGAGGGAGGGAGGGAGGGACTAACAATGGCTATGTGGTCTCTTTTTTGGGTGATGTCCTAAATGTTCTAAAATTATCGCTGGGCTGATGGAGACAGAGCTTTGCGAATATGCTAAAAACACTTTAGTGTCCAACTTACATGAGTAAATTATATAGTATGTAAATTAGACATGCAAATAAAACTGCTGAAACATTTTCAGAAAGATCAAATGGCTCATATTCCTAATATACAGAGATTTTATACACGAGTGACGAAAACCCCGCCAGCTGCTGCTAAAGGCTGTCCAGTGGGTTCTGACCCAAAGCGACCCTGTGTAGGGCTTCTGAGCAGCAGCTGGTGGATCAGAACTGCCGACCTTGTGCTTCCAAGTCCAGTGCTGATCCAACGGCACCAACCCAGGAGTCCAGGCATGCTGAGGAAGCACAGATGACCACTGTTGGTTTTTAAGTGCTGTCCAGTGGGTTCTGACCCATGGCGACCCCGTGACCCAGAGAGCTACAAGGTCAGTGGTTCAAAGTGACCTTTTGGTCCAGTGAATAGACACACAGAATTGAAAACAATGAAATATTTTCCTGTCTAGACCGGCAAGGAGCATTTTAAACAAACGCTTTTGCGGCCACAGGGGTGCTTTATCGACTGTGGTAGAAACGGAAGCTGCAGCAGGCTCTCTCAGGGGGTGACTCTGCTACCCCCAGAACTTCCAGTGTTTTCTTGGGGGACCTGTGCGCACCAGACAGGAGGCACTGCTCCCCAGCTGACAACTAGACAATCAGCACCAAGGCGAAATCCCCAAGGAGAGCCAGTACTCTGGACGCTGTGCCTGAGCCAGGCGGGCACAGGGTCATCCAGCAATACCCCTTCGTGCTGTCCTGTGTAGGCCCACACTTCTGAGCACAGGCTCCAACAAGTGGCGTGGCCGAGCCTCCTCCTCATAACCAGAGACACAAAAGCAGGCGGTGCTGGTGCCCATGAAGGGGCAGGGACGGGCGTGGGGGCTGAGCAGATGGGGCAGGTTGAGGGGTCCGCGGTGGCGTCCACTGTTCATGTTCATGGATGCTGATGTGTTCCTCTAGAAAAAGGACCAGGGGCTTCCACATCAGAGAGAAGGCCCTTGGGCCTGACCCAGTTCCGCCAACAGCAGGAAGAGCCCAGCACAGGCTGACCACTGAGACAGGGGGACGATCCTCAGGGGCCAGGCAGCCTGAGCCAGCCCCTCAGGCAACACAGAAAGTTCTTCCATCCCTGTTGGTAGCTGAATACACGTTCTGCTCACAGTCAGCCATTCAGTGTGACAAGCATCCACACTGCCCAATGACTGAGGCCACCGGTGGGTGAGGCTGACGAGTGACCCCGGTCACAGACGTGCAGGCTCGCCCTGAGCCTCTGTGGTCGGTTCCGACCACCATGTGGTTCTGAGGGAGACGGTGTTCCCAAGAAAACAAGTGTCGTGGGCTTGCCTACTTATGAACTTCCAAAGTCCTAAGTCAGTACACGGAGCGGAACCCAAACCCCTTCTGATGCTCCTGCCTCAAATGCCAGGAAGGAAACTGACACACACCCAACCCCAACCCAAGCTCCCCCCCACACCAGGGCTTCGTCTCACACTCACTCAGAGCACACACCTGCTCCTTCACACGCACCCTCTGCTGCACGCATCCTTACAGGTGCACATGTGGACACACAAGCTCACACATGCAGCTACACACTCACACACACAAACACACACGCGTGCACTCAGATACACACTTCCTCACAGGTATACACGTGGACACACGAGCTCACACACGCAACCTCATACATGCACTCAGATATATGCTTGCACACATAGGCATATTCACTTACACACGCAGTCACCCACACATATGCACTCACTCACACACACATATGAATGCACATATGCATGTACTCAGACCCCCACCTGCTCATACATGCACACATGCTCATACATGCACCCGCACACACACACCCCTTTCTAAGTTTGCTTCTTGAGATAGGCTCTTGAGCAGCTTTCTTCTCTCCATCCCATCAGGACATGTCTGTCCCACACAGGAAGTGGAGTCAGCACTAGAGTGGGGGCTATGGGCATCCTGCAGTATGGTCACAGCATCGTCACTGCAATTAGAGCCTGGGGTCGAGGGAGAAGCTGGGTATCACAGCCACCAGGCTGACAGGCATCCTTGGAGACACTGTGATGACAGGATTGTCATCGTGTCAAAGTGCTGTTGACTGTACTCACTGTCTTCTCTTCTCAGAGAGACAGTGTCTTAAGCCATTTCTAGGGTCAAAGAGCACTTTAAGTCTTGGAAAGAGCCAGGAAAACGGCCCCACAAAGGCGTCACCAGTTAGGGTTGCAGCCAACAACGTGTCCTGTGTCCTGATGAGCTCTCACAAGCCTTGGACGTCACTGGAGACCCTTCATCAGCCGGGCAGGCCTCTTGTGGCCGCGATCTGGATGTCAGTTTCTTCTATCTGTCAAAAGTGCACAGTTTCCTGCTCTGTTATTGATCTTTCATCTCTAGGATGCTTGTTCTTGGAGACATTTCAAAATGTACTGAGATGGCATCTGCTGGTCCAGGTGGAAACACAGTCTCCATGCTATGGAGGCGAGTCTTCCTTACCCCTTGAGGGTGTCACAGGATCAGCCGAGTTTGTGCGCGTCCGTCCAGAGAGAGCTGAACCCCACATCACAGGTGCGGGAGGAGCCTGTGCAGAAGCCCCAGGAGGAGACGTCCAGTCCCCACAGAGAAGGGGAGAGCTATGAGGCAAGACCACAAGATGCTACACTACGGCTTTCTAGTAAAATGGAAATTCCGCAGATGGACAGAAGAGGCAGAAAATCCACACAGACAAGTCATGGAGGAAAATGAGAAGATCCCTAAACACTTACCCTTAACACAGGGTCAAGGACAGGTTTACCATGGGGACTTGCTGTTCTTGGACAGAGGTCTGGGGCCTAGTGTCAGGATGGCAGAGGACAGAAGGCAGGAAGCAGCTGGTACCTAGATGGCTGAGGGGTCAGCTGAGGGGAAGGGACTCCCTAAGTCTGTGATGAGGGATATATGGGTGGATGGGTTGGTAGATGGTAAATAGGTGGGTAGGAGAATGGTTGGGGGACAGATGGGAGGAAAGATAGATGAATGGGTAGATGGGTGAGTGGGTGAGTGGGAACATGGGAAAATGAATGGGTAGGAGGGTGGGTGGCTGGATGAGAGGGTGGCTAGATGGATGGGTGGATGGACAGGTGGGTGGGTGGATGGACAGCTGGCTGGCTACAGGAATTCACAATTCACAAGGGAATGGCTAAGTGGAACAAGGCGTCCAAAACTGAAGGCTAGGGCTGCAATGGGAGAGAAAGAACCACGCCTCAGGCTGAGAGAGCTGTCCCTCTCCTGAGAGAAGGCAACCGAATGGAACCCTGATTGCTGGGGTCGCTGCGGTGGTTCAGGGAGACCAACAGGACAAGGGAGGAGTGTAGGCAGACGGCAGTGTCTTTAGAAGCAGCGAGGTTTCTCAGGAAAGTGGCAAAACCCCCCAGCCTAGCAGTGCCTCTGAGGAGCCAGGGGAAACCCACCTTTGCCTGGAGTGGAACAGAAGGAGGTTGTTTGCCCTGCCTCAGTTTACACCCCCCTCCCCCGCAATCCCTCCTTCAGGGAAAGGGGTGGGGTGGGGACCCTTGGAATTACAAGGCTTCTGAGATAAGACCTCTTCCAGTCATCCCCAATGCCAAAGGGTTGATGATTAATGGTAGTGTTAACGCTCAGGTGAGGCTCACAGATAAGGGTCCTCAGCTTTGAGTCCCAGCACCCATGCAGCAAATATCTGTGGGGCATGCACACAGCACGTGTCTGCTCCTTCCACCGTGCTCACCCCACCCACTGGTGGTTACACAGGAAACTGACTCCCGCTGTCTGCACTGCTGAGTCCTGGGAGAGACGCCCCCTGAGGGCAGCTTCCTGGTCCTCCCTGCTCCTTTGTTGTTAGGTGTCCGGAGCCACTTGTGATTCATTACTACCCTGTGTAGGGGTTCCAAGGAGGGGCTAGTGGGTCGGATCTGTCAACCCTGAGGTTAGTAGCCCAGTGCTTACTCCACACCAGGACTCCTCCCTGCCCTTCTCAGAGGGGGCTTTTCCTGAATGCCCTCAGCGTCCACAACTGAGGACGGTGTGGGGGTGGGGCTGGGTGAATTATAGAGGACATGTACGAGGACAGTTCTCCTTCCAAAAAGGAGCAAATGACCTGGCTTTTACCTCTAGAACATTCTCTGCGGACTTGGCTCCTATCCCAAGACAGCAGAGGATCACATGGATCCACGTGGGGCAAGGGGGGCTCACTGTAATCTCTGGAAATCAGTGCTGAGCTACAAAAGGGGTGTGTGCAGGGGGCAGTGAGGTGAGAAACCGGAAGCAGATGGACTGGCCAGTGAAGCTGAAGGAGCATGCGCGCCCGGTGCTTCTACGCAGACGGTGATGCGTGAGCACGACTGGACGGCAATTCCTGCGCCCGAGCAGCGGGGGCCCTGGGAGCACACTGGTGCCTTTATCTGGGAGCCGCGCTGACCTGCAGGCGTTCCCACACTGGCTGCCAGGACGGGGTCGCCAGCAGGGCCCTATAGAGGCCTCACTTCACAAGGCGCTGCCCTGTTCTCTCCATCCCCCCATCAGCTCAGGCGTCATGTGGTGGCCCCCTTCCTGCTCACCCCGCATCCCAGGGGGACCGTGTCTGCCTTCACTGGTCACCCTGCTTGGCCACATCTGTGCCTACTCATCCGGGAGAACCGCGTCTGCTCCCACTTACCCTGGCGGCCCAGCCTGGCGCGGAGCCGGTTTCCAGCCTCGGTGAGTTGTTCATTCTGCTGCCGCAGACTTACGATGCGCCTGGCTGCGGCCCTCAGCTGTCTCTGCAGTCGGAGCTCGGCGGAATGCTGAGCAGGGTGTCCACGTGCTGGGCCCTGAAATGTGAGAGAGACAGTGGCCCTTTCCCAGTGGGCGCTCCAACCCCAGGCCCCCCACCATAATTAGGGAGCTCCTTGAGTTCTCTGCCGAATGTTCTTTCAGATGGAAACAAAGGCACAGTTGTGTTAGCACACAAAAGTTCGGGTGGTCGGCCACTCTTCCCCTCCCCCTGCTCATCGGCCCTCTTCCCTCAACTGGCACCATCCTCAGGCCCAGTGGCTCTCCCGGGGGGTGGTCCTTGCAGACACTAAGGGGTGGGGTTGCCCCACTGACCTCTCCTGATGGGTAGGGGTAGAAAAAGCTGACACTAGCCCCCTCGCTGTACAGGTGGCTCACAGCCCAGGGGACAGTGGACAGGCGTGGGTCATGAAGAGGAAGCATAGGGAAGAGGGACAGGTGCCATCAGGAAAGGCTGAGAGGCATTGCTCCTCTTGTGCCAACTGGTCTCACACCTGTGAAAGCCACATTGTGCCCACCTGGCAGCAGCCACCTCAACAAGGAAGCAATGCCAAGTTCCAGGAAGGACAAGCACATTCTGTAGCCCTCAGTGTCCAGGTGTACCACCCAGCCCCGCTGGGGTCAGTGTTGGTGCACTGTGGTGTGGGGGAGGTGTGACAGGCCAGCCTGCACACTCTGGAGTCTGACCCATGACTCTGGGCCCATGGCCCATGGCCATCGAGACCAAGGGAAAGGACTTGGGCGGATCTGGGGGAAAGGCACTTAGATCAACAGCCAGGGCACAGCCACCCTCAAGGGATCCACAGGGACCGAAGGACAGCTATAGGGAAAGTGCCACAGCCTTTCTGCCTGGCCCAGGGAGAGGAGGGGACCCAGGCTGTGATGAGGGGACAGGGGAGGGGCGGGGCTCAGGCCTGCAATGGGTCAAGTATTGGATTGCTAACTGCAAGATCAGCAGTTCAAACAGCAGTCACTCTGCGGGAGAAAGATGAGGTTCAGAAACGCTAGGGAGCGGTGGGTGCGCTAGACATCAGTGATGAGTGACCACCACCATGGGAGCCCCAGATAGCCGTGGACAGTGGTGACATACTGCCCCCTGGTGGCAGGGACGCGCAGTCTCAAGAGGAGAGGGCAGCATGGACGGAGCCTGTAGGTCTCACCCCCAGGGGACCACAGGGCAGGGATGAAGCTGCAGGCCCCGGGAGTTGGGCAGAGGCTGTGGCACATGCTCATGAGCCAGCTCGGCCGCCTGTGAGGGCTTAGTCTTTTATCAGATGGAATTTCAACCTCGGCTGTCCTCTGTCCACACAGGTTCACAAGGCGACAGCTATTACCCCATGCCCACGTGTCAGGTGACTGGAGATGCTGTATCCCTCTGACTGCCGCACAGCCATCAAAACCCGAAGGCCCACCTGATCCCACCTAGGGCCTCAGGGGTTCAGTTGTTGGGGCTCTGCAGTTGCCTTTTCCAGAAGGTTCCAGTTTATGTTTGTTCTCTCTCTGCTGACACTGTTTCTTGTCAGAACCCGTCCAGCTGATAGGCCTGGGCATGGTCAGTTGACCTCCACTGTGGGGAAAAGCTCTTCCCCACTTGCCTACCCACTGGGGCACGGTGAGGGCACACGCATGGATGGACGTCTGGGAGCACGGGTGGACAGGCCTGTGGACACATGCATGGATGGACGTGTGGGAGCATGGGTGGACAGGCCTGTGGACACACGTGTGGAGGCATGCTCTCCTCCAGTTCCATTTGTCCCCTTTGAGCATCTTCACACCTGAACAAACACTTCTGCACAGAGCCTGGCTCCATGAGACTCGGAGATCTCAGGCGGCACGGCAGCTCCTCAGCCCGTCTCCCTTTCCACACAGACCCCCCACATAGTCCTCTTCTCCGTGGACTTGAAGAGCTGTGCCACAGTTCTGAGGGGCCCTGGTGAGCCCTCTGATGGTCCAGCCCCACCCCACCCCCACTGAAGTGACTCCTTCAGTCTCTAAGTCTGCTTATTCACACGACTTCCTGCCCTCACACTAGTAACAAGCAGGACATGGGGCCAGGGCCCTGCCTCCAGACAGGGTAACCACACTCACCCCGAGCTAGACATGGACAGTGCTGGGGGGACAGCAGACCACGCTAGGCCCCTGGTGCAGGACTGTGTGTGGATCTGGGAGCTGAAGGACAGCTCGACTACAGGGCCTTGGGGACAGCCTGTCTGTCTGTCCTGCCCTGCCGCACCCCCACTCCTGCCCGTGTCCCTGGAGGTCCAGGAGGCCAGCAGCCCATCTGCTCCAGTGTCCTCCCTGTCACAGCTCCCACACGCGTCCCTCATGTACCCCTGAGTCTCTGCTCTCACCAGCAGTGGTGGCAGGGCACCCACCTGTCTCCAGAGGGCCGTGGTCTCCAGGCTTTGAGGCTGTTTCCCGTCCTCTGCCTCCCCTCCTTCCTTCTTGGTGGTGCTAAGATGCTTGTCCAGCTCGGCCACTTGCCTGTTCAGTTCTGAGACCTCCATGTGCACCTGGTCTACCTCACGGGGCAGCTGGAGCCGGACAGCATCCATCTCTGGCGGTTTCTGCAGCACCTAGTCACCAGGGATGGGTCAGGAGGGAGAGGCTCCAGGGATTTGGCAGTTGCAGGGAGTGGGTCTGGGGGAGCAGGTTTGGGGGACAGGTCTGGGGGCAGGTCTGGGGGAACAAGTCTAGAGGAGCAGGTTTAGAAGAGCATATCTGAGGGAACAGGTCTGGGTGAACAGATTTGGAGGAGTAGGTCTGAGCAAGCAGGCCTCATGCAGCAGGTCTGAGGGAGGGCTCAGGTAGACCTGAGGAGCAGGTTTTAGGGACCAGGTCTGAGAAAGCTGGTCTTGGGGCACAGATCTGTGGAAAAAAGGTTCCAGGAGCAGGTTTGAGGGGAAAAGTCTGAAGGAGCAGACTAGCGGGAGCAAGTTCAGCAGTAGGTCTGAGGGACTAGGTCCCAGGGACACCTTGGAGCTCCAAGAGCAAACACGCAGACTACTTGGATGCCACTCCCCTCCTGACTCGCAGATTCATTCATGCTAAGTATGCAGCACCCAGGGCAGCTGGCAATGTGGGCAGTTGGGGCAGAGCCTGCCCTGGGCCCCAAGGGGATAAAGAAGAGCCTCAAACCCTCTCCTTGAACCGGGGCTCTGAAAGGTACAGAGAGTTGAGGTGTCAAGGGCTAGGGAGACGGTGAAGACTGCCAACCTGTGGTTCAAGTGGCCCTTACGGCCCAGTACCTTCCTGAGGCCATCAGACTTCTAGGTAAAGGTATACCTCGTGTTACTGGGTTTCTCTTTGTTGAGCTTTGCAGATACAAGGGCAAGTCACAAAGCATTGCTACAAAATCATGACAACTTATTAGACAAAAACGCCAACATGCAGAGCTAGTGCTTCTTCCCAGCGACCCTTGCACACGTCTGAAGGCAGTTTCCCATCTCTCACCTCCTCTGCAAGGGGTTCTGCCCTCTTGGCTTTGCACCATGTATGTACAAACAGAAGTTGGACATCCTTGAGGAACTCAAATCGTGCTTCTGTGAAATGCTCTTTGAATTTGGGGGACACAAAGAACTTTAAAGGGACAAGATCAGGGTTTTAGGGTGGATGGAGGAAGGCTTCCCAGGGAAATTCTCGGAGAATGAGCAGGTGCATTGTCAAGATGAAAACAAGATTTCTTGGTTCAATTTTGCTGGCCTTTTCCTCACCATTGCAATTTTGTTTCCTGAAAAGGTCTTCACAATAAGCCCCCATGACCATCCTGTGTCTTTTGAGAACATCTATCAAAATTACCTCTTTGAAGCCCCCAAACCAGTTGCCGTAGCCTTCTGAGGTGTCCTCTCTGCTTTGCACTGAACTGACCCAGCAGAACCCCTTGGAAACCACTGGTCTGATTGGGCCATTTTTTCAAAGGCACCCTAAAAGGAGTCCTGGAGTCCTGATGTGGCACTGCGGGTTCATGTGCTGGACTGCAAAGTCGGTTTGAACTACAGGGTTGGCGGTTCAGACTCACCAGTCGCTCTTCAGAAACCCTACATGGGGTTGCTATAGGTCGGAATGGACTCGATGGCACTTAACAACAACAAAGGGGTCCTGGTGTGGTGGCGCAGTAGGATATGCACTGCAAGATCAGCACTTCACTCCTCGGAAACCCTGGGTGGAGAGTCAGCACTGCGTCTACAGATACTACACAGCAACATGGAGCTGATGAGGCTACTTGTAATTTCCAAGGCTAGTTTTATCTGGACTCAGTCTCTCTAGATAGAAAAGAGTTCAGAGGGCCCTCCCACTACACCAGAAGGAAGAGCCAAGAACGTGTCCTGGGGACCTGGGGTCTCAGCACGGTGACGCTCCTAGGTCCAGAGGAAAACTGATGCCAAGACACATGGAGGTCCCAGGAATGCTGGGCCTACAGGTGCTGAAAGGAGACCAGGAGCTCACTCTCCAGCCTTCCCCAGAGTCGGCACTCTGAATCTGGGCTTCCAGTCTCCTGAACTATGAGAGAAGACAGCTCTGCTTGTTGGAGGCCCCACTTGTGCTATTTCTGTTGTGGCATCGCCAGAGAATGAAGTTGTTGTTGTTGTTGTTGTTAGGTACCACTGAGTCGGTACTGACTCATAGCGACCCTGTGCACACCAGAATGAAACTGCCCGGTCCTGGGCCAACCTCACTATTGTGGCCACACTTGAGTCCATTGATGCTGCCACTTTGCCAATCCATCTCTCTGGGGGTCTTCCTCTTTTTCTCTGACCCTCCACCCTATCAAATATGATATCATTCTCCAATATGTTCCAAGTATGAGAGATGAAGTTTGGCCATCCCGGCCTCCAAGGAGCACTCTGGCTGCACTTCTTCTAACACAGATCTATTGGTTCTTTTGGCAGTCCATGGCACTTTCAATATATTCCAACACCATAATTGAAAAGCATCAATTCTTCTACGGTCTTCCTTATTCACTGTCCAGCTTTCGCATGCATATGAGGTTATTGAAAATACCATGGCTTGGGTCAGGTGCACCTTAGTCCTCAAGCTGACATCTTTGCTCTTTAACACTTTAAAAAGGTCTCGTGCAGCAGATTTGCCTAATGCATTATGTCGTTTGATTACTTGACTGCTGCTTCCATGAGTGTTGATAGTTGATCCAAGAAAAACGAAGTCCTTGACAACTTCAATCTTTTCTCCATTAATAAGAATGTTGTTTATTGGTCCAGTGGTGAGGTTTTCTTTACATTGAGATGCAATCCATATCGAAGACTGGGCTCTTTGATCTTCATCAGTAAGTATTTTAAGTCCTCTTCGCTTTCAGCAAGCAAGGTTGTATCATCTGCGTATCGCAGGTCCAATCCTGATGCCACATTTTTCTTCATAGAACCCAGCTTCTGGGATTATTTGCTCAGCATACAGGTTGAATAAATATGGTGAAAGAATACAACCCTGTTGCACACCTTTCTTAATTTTAAACCATTCAGTGTTCCCATATTCTATTCGAACAACTGTCTCTTGGTCCAGGTACAGATTTCTCATGAGCACAATTAAGTGTTCCGGAATACTCATACTTCACGATGTTGTCCATAGCTTATCATGATCCACACAATTGAAAGCCTTTGCGTAGTCAATAAAGTACAGGTAAACATCTTTCTGATATTCTCTGCTTTCAGCCAAGATCCATCGGACATCAGCAATGATATCCCTCGTTCCACGGCCTCTTCTGAATCCGGCTTGAACCTCTGGAAGTTCTCTGTCAATGTAGCCGTTTCTGTATTACCTTGAGCAAAACTTTACTCACATGGGATATCAAGGATTTTGTCCTATGATTTCTTCATTCCATTGGGTCACCTCTCTTTGGAATGGGCACAAATAAGAAAATCTTCCAATCAGTCGGCCAGATAGTTGTCTTCCAAATTTTTTGGCAGAGATGAGTGAGTGTCTCCTGTGCTGCCTGACTTTCTTGAAAGATTTCAATTTTTATTCCATCAATTCTTGGTGCCTTGTTCTTTGCCAATTTCTTCAATGCACCTTGGACTTCCTCCTTCAGTATCATTAGCTCTTGATCATATGCTACCTCTTGAAATGGTTGAGTATCAACCATTTCCTTTTGGCACAGTGACTCTGTGTATTCCTTCCATCTTCCTTTGATGTTTTCTGCATCATTCAGTAATTTGTCCAGAGAATCCTTCAATATGAACGAAAGTCGAGGCTTGGATTTTTTTCAGTTCTCGCAGCTTGAGAAATGCTGAGCGTGTTCTTCCCTTTTGGTTTTCTGACTTCAGATCTTTACACATTTCTTTGTAATATTTAACTTTATCTTCTCGAACCGACCTTTGAAATTTTCTGTACCTTCTCATTTCTTCCATTTGCTTTAGCACCTTTATGCTGGAGAGCAAGTTTCAGTGTCTTTTCTGACATCCATTTTGATCTTTTCCTTCTTTCTTATCTTCTTAATGTCTTCTTGCTCTCTTCCTGTATGATGTTCTTGATGACATCCCACAACTCTTCTAGTCTTCAATCATTAGTGTTTAATGTATCAAATCTGTTCTTCAGATGATCTCTAAATTCAGGTGGGATTTATTTAAGGTCATGTTTTGGCTCTCATGGACTTGTTTTCATTTTCTTCAGCTTCAGTTTGAATTTGCATATGAAAAGTTGATGGTCTGTTCCACAATCTGCCCCTGGCCTTATTTTGACTGATGATATGGAGCTTTTCCATTGTCTTTTTCCTCAGATGTAGTCAATTTGATTTCTGTGTATTCCATCTGGTGAGGTCCATGTGTATAATCGTCTCTTATGCTGTCTAAAGAAGGTATGTGAAATGAACAAATCATTGATTTTTGCAGAATTCTATCAGGTGAAGACACCCTCTTGCTGTGGACACGTGGATGAAACTTGGAATGTGGAGTTGAAGCCAGACATAAAGGCCACCAAGGCATGACAGGCAAACCCACAGAGACAGCAGGGTCGACCAAGGGCTTCCAAACGATAATCCCTGAACTGCAAACCACAAGGTCTGTGGTTCAAGCCCACCAGCCACTCCGTGGGAGAAAGATGAGGCTTTCTGCTTCCACGAAGATTAAAGGCTCAGAAACCCTAAACAGGGTCACTAGGAGTCAGAAGCGACTTGACGACAAACCAACAACAGGCCAGGGGACTGGAGGGAAATGGGAAGTAACAGTGTCTTATGGGGTGACAGAATGCCCTTGTGGGATACACACTCATACACATACTCGCACACACCACATGTACAAACGTGGCACACCCTCCTTCACACACACTCGTACACACATGGCACACACACACCATATGTGCACACACGCTCATGTGCATATACATGGCACATGCTCCGACACCACCACACTTGGCAGATGGCACACACACACACACACACACACACACTCTAGTGTGAACCACACACACAGCTTATGGCATACACAACACACACATTCACACACACACACACAATCAGCTGACCTACACAACACCCTGCGAGACAGGTTCTGTGGTGTACCCACGATCACCAGGACCCCTCACAGCCGGCTCCAAGCCTATGAACAGCCAGGCAGCGACACTGCTGTATGCTGGCCTGCAGGACACGAGCTTCAACAGGGACAGCCTTACCTTTTGTCGGAGCCTTGAGACCAGGCGGTCCAGCAGACGGACTCTGCCCGCGAGCTTCTTGCATGCCAGCACGCTGGGAGCCACCTCGGCCTGCGGATGGTCCCCTGCAGAGAAGTGACCTTCAGACCCCAGAGACCACAGCGAGGCCTACATGGGCTCACCACCCTCTCTCTAGGGTCTCTAGGCTACGCTAGCCTCCCCTCAGACAGGTGGTCTACTTGAAGACTAGGACGGAGACTCTACGTAACCCTGGGTCAGAGGAGAACTCACCACGCAGAGTGGACAGTCAGGAATAATCACACTGCCTCTCCCAGCGTGACTCCTGAGGGGAGGGGAGCTGTAGGATCAGCCCTGGGCTGCTGACCACAATGTCGGCGGTTCCAAGCCACCAGCCGCTCCTTGGAAACCCAATCCAGGGTCGCTAGGAGTTGGAATTGGCTCCGCGGCACCTAACAACAACTACATCACAACTGAGGGAACCCATTGCTAGCTGCCCTTCCGGGGGTGCCACCGGCTTCCGGTGCTTACTTTGGAAAAGAAGAAAGGCTGAAAAATCAGTGAAATGTTTTTCTCAGAAACTTAGAAAAGGAATAACCAAATTAACTCAAAGTTGGAGGAAAAGAATAAAGTAGATGATCAACAGAACCAAGAAGTTATTTTTTGAAAAAAAATTTAAAAACATCAATCAATCCCTGGTAAGACTAAGCAAGAGAAAGGGGTGTGGTCAGCAACGCCCCCCCCCCGAGGAAAAGCAGAGAAAGGGAGGACGGAGATCAGGAAGGAAGGAAAGGGGGCGTTGTCTCAGCTCCTGGTAGTTGTTAGCGGTGTTGGCATTGTGGTGGTGGTGGTTGGTAGTGTGGTTGTGGTGGTGGTGGAGGTGCTACTGTAGGTGAGAAGTGCCGCTGACCCTGCTGAGGGTTTTTGAGGCTGAAAACTTTTATAGGAACAGAAAGCCTCATCTTTCTCCCACCGAGTGGTCAGTGGGCTCAAACCGCTGACCTTGTTCACAGTCCAGTGCTTATCCTACAGAGCTACTATGCTCCCATCAGGGCCTACACACATTTTAAAGATCATGGGAGGATACTATAAACAACCTAATGCCAAGGATTTTTAAATATTAAATGGACACTTTCCTAGTGAAATAGGACATAAAAATGGACACACATTCACAATCTGGATAGTCCTATAATATGAAAAACCTGAGTTCACCATTTTAAACCTTTCCAGAAGGAAGGACGGAGGTCCAGGAGACTTCAAAGCTGTAGTCTACCAACTGTTTAAGGAAAAATGGACAGAAATAGGGTACAAACTCTTCCAGGAAAATGGTGACCACCTCCCATCACAAATGAGGCCAGAACACGCCTGATTCCATATCGGACACAGACATCATGAGAGGAAAATTACAGGCCGATCTTCCTCAAGAACTTGTCATTGTTGTTGTTAAGTGCTGTCAAGTCGGTTCCGACCCATAGCGACCCTGTATAGGGTTCCCAAGAAGCGGCTGGTGAGCTTGAACCACCAACCTTAGGCTTTGCCAAGTTTGCAGTCTAGCGCGTTAACCCACAGCACCACACCAGGACTCCCCTCAAGAACTAGATACAGTAATTCTAAGTAAAACAGTAACAATCCAAATCCTACAATATATAAAAATAAGAACGTATTACATGTTGTGTTTACGCCAGAAATGCAAGGTGGTTAACAATCAAAAGCTAATTTACATTTCTGGTTCTGGACAAGACGGGGTGTGAGCATTCCGCCCCATTTCTCCCGCAGGTGGTGGTGGTGACGTGCTGTTGAGTCAATTCCGAGTCACAGCAGCCCCGGACAGGGTTTCTGAGGAGCGGCGGGTGGGTTTGAACTGCTGACCTGGCAGTTAGCAGTCCAGTGCTCATCCTCCAGTGCAGCACCAGGACCCTAATAATAATAATAACTGTTGGTGTTGTTGCTAAGAGCTGCCGAGTCATTTCTGACTCATACTGACCCTGTATAGGATTTCTGAGGAGTGGCTGGTGGGTTTGAACCACCCACCTTATGGAGATGGTAGACTGACTAGGGGTCTTGGGATTCCAGGGTCCACCTGAGAGTGTGCTGCGTGTCCTGTCCTATTTAGTTGCGCACACGTCCCAGCCTGGGTGCTGAAGCAGCCGGCAGCCCAGAAACACCGGGGCACACCGAGTCTGCTCTCTGGAGCTGAAGGACCAGGCGGGCTGGGACGCACTTGCCCAGCAGACGGGCTCTCACCAGTGCTGGGCTGGGCTTCAGCAGAGCACAACGACATCTTTGGAGGATCTAACGCATCTTGCAATTGCTCTTCCAGGGTCTTAAATTTATGCTTTAGACTTCGTATTTCTTCTTTAAGGACCAGAACGTAATCTGCCAAAAACAAACAACACAAAAGAGCATGCACACGAACTCACAGGTGCACATGTGCACCTCCAGGCTCCGCCTTCACCAGCTCGCGGGTGCTGCTGGCTCACACCTGCCCTGTCCCCCTCCTGGCCCTCACAGCTGCTTCTGGCCACCATGCCCCAAAGTCATGAGCAAGTCTTAGCCCTGCATCTGTGACCAGACCCTGTTGGAACAAGAGGGGCTTGCTCTTGGTATGGTATTAAACTCAAGCCAGAGTTGGGTGGTCCTGAACCTATCCTAAGAGGTGTCTGATCAAAAGAGCAGAGGAGACCGAGACCCAGGGGGAAGAGAGATGCCAGGTGAGGACTGTCTATGACCAAAGGAGCATCCAGGGCTACTGACAAGGAGGGCCCTAACTCAGAGTGCTAACCTACAAAACCAAGCAGCAGCAAACCCCTGTCCTTCGAAGCCGCCCACAAGTGGACGCTTTGTTAAGACCTCAGGAGAGCACACAGCCTGAAACATGTTCCCTCCCTCAAACACCAGAGGGCGCCATTCAGAGGCCACTTGGGCCTCCAGATTCTCCAGGAAGGACCCAGTGATCAAGAGCAAATATTCCTGCTCCTCACTTACCAACCATCTTGTTACCCAACGTTTTGCATTTACAGAAGTAAAAACTCTACTATCTATTTTGTGTGCTAATGATGTGTATCTAGCAGTAACAAATACCACAGTGTGAAGCGAGGGTACCATTGGCTGTGATGGTTATGTGCTAACTTGGCTGGGCCATGATTCTCTGTGGCTTGGAAGTTACATAATAATGTAGCCATCGTCCATTTCTGCTTAATGACCTGGTCTTTGGGACCTAGCCATGCCAAGAAATGAGGAGTTTTACTCAAATGCGGACAATGAGTATCCTGAGCAAACCAGGCACGGGGTGGGTGTGCCCACCTGAGCGATACCCCACGACACCTCTTTGGATGCACACAGTGACCAACAGCCCTGCTCAGGCCTGACCTCACTGTATCCACTCTTCATAATTTCCCTTATACTTATGATGCAGTTTTGTCTTCGATATAAAACTTGACTTAAAATCCCTTCTCTTAGAGGAAAAGTAGCTGCCAGGCATTGATTGATTTGTGTGACTTGGCCACCTCCCTCTCTCCCTCTCTCCGTGTCACACACACACACACACCAGGAGTGGCGGTGTCTGCTGAAGTGGTCACGTTGGTCTGGCTTGTAGTTGGGAGCTGGCCTCCGAGGTCGGCAGGAGGAGGAACTGGATCACTTAGAGTTTCCATTTGTTTCCTCATTTGAGTAATAACATTCCGCAGGCTTGTGTTCTGCTCTTGCAGCCGCTGGATTTCACTTGATGGAAAATCTTGACTTATTTCTTCTTTGTGATGCTCTGGCAGTGGCTGTCAGACAGAAAGAAAAGCAGAGTCAAGTGAGTGTGTACAAAGGGCAGAGCCAAGTGAGAGGTGCTGGGCCAGCTGGGGCCCCCATGCACAGACGGGACTTGAGCCGTGTCCTCTCAGGGCTTCGGTAAGGACCCACCAGACTCCCGCGCGCAGACCTACATGTGGAATGTCAAAGTTGGGCAGGACTGTGAAACACGACACCCAAAGCACATTCCACAAGAGGAAAAGTGGAGACCACACACTTCAGAAAAAGGGAGCCCTTCTGCTTTGCTGACTGAAAGGGCCAGCCACATTTTCACATCGTGTACCTGACAACGGGCCCGTGTTTACAATCTGTATCAAACACACTCAAAACTTAACAAAATAAACAAGAAAACAACAAAGAGTCTAACACGCCTTTTGTTATAGAAGGTAGGCATGCCAGGTACACACATGGGAAGGTGCTCACCACCAACAATCATCTGCTGTTGGGGTTCTCAGGGTGGTTCATAGCAACCCCTCACACCATGGAACCCCTCACTCCATGGAACCAATCACACCACGGAACCCCTCACACAACAGAACGAAGCGCTGCCAGGCCCAGCGTGGTCTCACAGCCATTGGTGTGTTAGAGCCCACTGGGGCAGCCACTGGGTCAGTCCATCTCCTTGGAGGCTCTTCGTCTTTTTTCACTGACCCTTCACTTTACCAAGCACCGTGGCCTTTTCCAGGGACTGGTAATTCCTGACCTAGCCAAAGGACAAGAGACAAAGTCTCTCCAGGGCGTCTTCTGAGGAGCACTCTGGCCATACCACTTCCAAGATGGATGTGTGCGTTCTTCTGACAGTCCACAGTATTTCTTCCTCATTGTCCAGCTTGCACATACATCAGAGGTGACTGAAAATGCCCTGCTTGGGTCAGGCGTGTCATAGTCCTCAGGTGACACCTTTGCTTGTTCACACTGTCCAGAGCCTTTGGCAGTGATCTGCTTCCACGGTGGATCCAAGTTCACTGAAATCCTTCACAGAAAGTCCCACTGTGCGCATCTCTAGCAGGTGCTCTGCACATCCAGGAAACCAGGCTCTGTGACCTCCATGTTGCAGATTGCTGAAGAGCCTTCCTCCAATCTTGAGTTCTTCTTCATGTACTGCTCAACATACAGAAATCAGCCCTCCTGATTTCAAACCACTCCGCATCCTCCCTGCTCTGTGTAAATCACCGCCTCTTGGTCTATGTACAGATTCCGTATAAGTATAATTCAGTGTTCGGAAATCACTACTCTTTAAAATGCTATCCATAATTTGTCATGATCACACAGCTGAATGCCTTTGCATAGGCAATAAAGCACAGGTAAACGTCTTTCTGATATTCTCTTTCAGCCAAGATCCATTGAACATCAGCAATGACACCCCTTGTTCCACGGCCTCTTCTGAATCCAGCTGGAATTTCTGGCAGCTCCCTGTCGATGTACCGCTGCAACCGTTTAATTCCTTTATGTAAACTTTTACTAGTGTGTGACATTAAAGGTATTATGCGATAATGTCCTCATTCCGTTGGATTACCTATCTTTGTTGTTGTTGTTAAGTGCCATCGAGTCGATTCAGACCCATAGAGCAGCGGGTGAGCTTGAACCACTGACCTTGCAGTTTGAATGACTTTGCAGTCTGACACATGAGCCCAGGACACCACCCCAGGGCTGGGAAGGGCACAGTCTTTTCCAGTCAGTCACCCTGGAGCTGTCTTCCAAATGTCTTGGCGTAGACAAGTATTGCCAGCATGGCACCCATTGTTGAAGTACCTCAACTCAGATTCCGTCAATTCCGGGAGCCTTGTTTTCCAACACCACCTTCAGTACACCTTAGATGGCTTCTTCAGTACCATCAGTTCTTGTCCATATGCGGCCTCCTCAAATGGCTGAAGGCGGAGTGTTCCGGAACACTTAATTGTGCTCATGAGGAATCTGTACCTGGACCAAGAGGCAGTTGTTCAAAGAGAACATGTGAACACTGATTGGTTTAAAATGGAAAAAGGTGTGCGACAAGGTTGTATTCTCTCACCATACTTATTCCACCTGTATGCTGAGCAAATAATCCGAGAAGCATCAGGATTGGAGGAAGACTCATTAACAACCTGTGATATGCAGATGATACAACCTTGCTTGCTGAAAGTGTAGAGGACTTAAAATATTTACTGATGAAGATCAAAGAGCACAGCCTTCAGTATGGATTACATCTCAATGTCAAGAAAACAAAAATCCTCACCACTGGACCAATAAACAACATTCTTATCAACAGAGAAAAGATTGAAGTTGTCAAGGACTTCATTCTTCTTGGATCAACTATCAACACTCATGGAAGCAGCAGTCACGAGATCAGACAACGTATTGCATTAGACAAATCTGCTGCACAGGAACTTTTTAAAGCGTTGAAGAGTAAAGATGTCAGCTTGAGGACTAAGGTGTATCTGACCCAAGCTATGGTATTTTCAATAACCTCATATGGAAGCAAAAGCTGGACAGTGAATAAGGAAGACCATAGAAGAACTGATGCTTTTGAGTTGTGTTGTTGGAGGAGAATATTGAAAGTGCCATGGGCTGCCAAAAGAACCAAAAGATCCATTTTGGAAGACGTGCAGCCAGAGTGCTCCTTGGAGGCCAGGGTGGCCAAATTTCGTCTCTCATACTTTGGACATGTTGTTAGGAGGGACCAGTCGCTGGAGAAGGAGCTCATGTTTGGTAAGGTGGAGGGTCAGAGAAAAAGAGAAAGACCCCCAACGAGATGGACTCAAGCGTGGCAACAATTGTGACATTGGCCCAGGCCCGGGCAGTGTTTTGTTCTGTTGTGCATAGGATTGCTATGCGTCGGTACCAACTTGATGGCACCTAACAACTACATATGGTTTAACACTGACCAGTGCTTTCTGGGACACTGACGCTGAGAAAGGCGGAGTGTGCTCTTCTCTTGTTGTTTGAAGCCCAGGTTTTGTACATTTCATTATACTTTGTCTTCTCAAAATGTCCTTTGAATTTTTCTGTTTACCTTTGTCTTCATTTCTTCCACTTTCTGTAGTTTCTCTGTGTTTAAGAGCAAGTTTCAGAGTCTCTTTTGACGTCCATTTTGGCCTTTTCTTTCTTTCCTGGCTTCTTAGTGACCGTTGCTGTCTTCATGCATGATGTCCTTAATACCATTCCACACCCAGGTGGTCTCCAGTCAGATCTATCCTTGAGGTGGTCTCTAAGTGCAGTGGGGCACACTCACGGTTCTTTGACTCATTAATCTCATCCTGGTCAGGTGCCATAGGAAAAGCAGTGGACTACAAGGTTAGGGGGTCACACTCACTCTCTGCTCCTTGGAAACCCTGTACAGGGTCGCTATGAGTTGGACCCGACTCAATGGCACATGACGACAACAATAATACTGCCATTGATCATTACAAAAATCTGAATTAAAGCCACAATGATGAGATGTCAGGGCACACTCCTAAGATGGTTTTTATTTAGAATGCAGAGTGTGGTTGATGGCACAGAGCAGCGGTGTTCTGGTGTGAATACAAAAAGGCACCACTTTGGAAACTGGTTTGACAGTTTCTCTTCAAGATAAAAATCATAACTGGCAATATGACCCAGCAATTATGCTCCAAGGTGTTTACCCAAAAGAAGTGAAAATTTATCTGCACAGAAGCCAATGGATGCAAGGTGGTTACGGCAGCTTAATCAATCATCCCCAAGAGGTGGCACTTCGGAACAGTGTAACAACGCCACAACTTCAACCCGCGGTGCCCTTCTATAGGTTCCCTAAAATGGCGAAACTTACAAGAGCAGGTAGCTTTATCTTTCCCTTGTGGAGTGATGGGTGGGTCTGAAACACTAACCCAGCAGTTAGCAGTCCAACGCCTAACCCACAGTGCCACCAAGGCTGCTCACAATGGAATACTATGCAGCAATGAAAAAGAGCAATGTACCGCATCACTACAGGCAGCAACATGGATGAGCCTCAAATGCATTGTGTAAGTGAAGCCAGACTCGCAGGAAGGTCTAGAAGAGGCAGAAGACAGTCAGATGTTCTCAGGGTTAGGACTGGGTGGTAGGAGGGGCAGGACAAGGGGGTCTGTCAGTGTGACTATGATGTCTCTATCTCCATGGAGGGGCTGCACCACTCTTTGTCTTTGTCAAAACTCCTAGAATTAGACACCAAAAACACTGCATTGAAAAATCAACAGCAATACTGGATTCCAATCCACGGACTGACCGACACCTGAGTCCACACAGATGTACGTGAACACACAGGGAGTGGAGGAAGCTCCCCGAGGGTAGAGCCCCTAAACATGGAGGGACGACAGGTTGGCCAAGTCACCATCTGGTCTGCAAAGCAGACAGCAACACAGGTAAGAAACGATAGATGCATCATCTCAAAGGGTCTCCCCACAAAACACTTCAGGATTACAAGTATTCTAAAAAGTAACTTCACACCGAGGTCCCTGATTGTCAGGCAGTCAAAGCTAACAGTACCAGACTGACAAAAATGGTCACCAGGAGAAGAACCAAGCCCACCTGGCCCCTGTCCAGCCCACCCCAACCAATGCCTGGTCTGTACCAGGACTACAGCACTGGCCTTGGTGTCCCAGGCCTGACCTGGCATCGTGAAGGCAGGGTGGATTATTTGCTCTCTGTCAAGCGCAGACAGACCACGCCTACTCTCTTCAATTAACAAGGTCTTTGACACTCAGAGTCACCTGCCCCAAACAATAGATGGGGTCATTAAACTGCCCCCAGTCCCAGGAAGGAGAATACAAGCTGTACAAAGTACCAGCCTTTTGGAGCGTATTTATACACACTCATTTCTCAATCTCACTCGGTGCCCAAGCTCAACTGCGACCCCTGTCCTCCACAGGGGGTCCCGTGAACAAAGTACAGTTGCCTGCCACCCCCTGAGGCTGCCTGAGGGTCCAGCCTGCCCACCCAGCACAAGGTCCTCCTAAAGGAACATGCATGTTCTTCAACGGCAGGCCATGGGTCAAAACCAGGACCAGACCTGGTCCCCTTCCTGACACCCTGCTTCCTAACTCGCCACAAGCTCCTTTGTACTAACCAGCAGGAAGTTAGTCCAGGCTCACACAGGAGGACATTCGACAACCGCAAGCGGTGGTGGTGGTAGTGGTAGGGGTGGTGGGGGGCATGTGTGGGAGGAAGACTGCAGAGCGAACTTGACCCCCCACCACAGGATTCTAACAGAAACAGTGGCAGGTAACTGACATGGCCAATGCTGGGAGGGTGGCTGGGTCAGTTCCGGCCAGTGTGCAACCCGTACAACCACTTGATTGTTTTGGAAGACTTCGGTGCCATGGGGAAAGATCTGTGCTAGAACACTCAGTGAAAGAAGGGTGAGCAGTGGATGCACTACCGGGAAACCTGTGAGAATGGGCACTCGGCGGCACGGCTTCGTCTCCCGGGCTCTCCGACGTGTGGTACCTTTGACAAGAGTGCAGTCCTAGCACATTTCTCCCCTAGCGGAAAGCATTTACGATTTCCCTTGGCAGGTTTCCACCGTACTCAGGTTCTGGCTTTGGCAGGTCTCACTGTCTATCCAAACAGTGCATGCAGAAGACACAGGGGAGCAGTGCAGACGCACAGACTAAACTAGACTAGAAGGACACACACCACCTCTGCGTGGGGAGGACTCTGCTGATCTCTACTTCCTTCTTTGTCAACAACACTAGCTCACATTGGCCACGTTGCCAGGTTCTGGCCTCACTGAGGGCCAGGTGTCCATGAGGCACCCAGCTCACAGAGAAGAAACCATTTTCCCAGGTGAAAGTCAAATGCAGGGCAGGTCTCCAGGTACCACCACCAGACATGAAGATCATGGTTCACATATACAACTTCCCATGGTGCCACGCTCTAGTCCCACCAGGCAGGGACCTGGGCTGTCTCCACTTCCCATGGTGCCACGCTCTAGTCCCACCTGGCAGGGACCCGGGCTGTGAGACTCTGCAGGAGGGAGCAGCCTAGGAGATGAGGGCTCTTGTGTTCCTCAGGAGGACGGTGCTGAGTAAAGCAGATTGAACAGACAATGCCTTACCAATGGTCTGGGGGTCCCACAGGCACGCAGCCTCCTTGCCCCTGGCCCCTCCTACCACAAGCCACTTCAGGACACAGAGCATCACGGGTGGGAAGCAGAGGGCAGGGGCTCCTTGAGGTGATGAGGTGCATTCACCTGTGTGCTTCTCTGTGACCCCATTAAACACAAGCCAACAGGAGAGAGAAGGCAGTCGCACGCCTAGAATGACTCCCAGTTCCCTCTTCCCCTCTCAACCTTGTGCGTCTCTGTCCTGGGACCCAGGTCATGGGACAGGCCATGGGCCGCAGCTCAGCTCCCCACAGGCAAGTGGTACCCTGTCTCCTTCTCAGGTACCTGGAGTGTGAGGAAGACGCAACAGGCTGGCCAAGAGGACATTTCTATCAACTCTCCATCAGACCAAGAGCTGCAGGGGCCAGAACTGCCTAGAGGGACCTGTGTTCACACTCTGCCATGGTGACCCTTGGTGGGGGTGTGGACAGTCAGGCTGAGCTGCCCCTCTGAGCCCTGACCGAGGCACAGGCGGGACTGGCCTGGCTCCCCACTGCTGCTGGCCTGGTGGTGCGGGCGGAGGGGAAGACAGGTGCTCTCACCTGTGCCTCCTGCTTGGGAAGGAGCCCGTGGGTCCTCAGCATGTGCACCGCCTGGTCTCTCTCGAGGGCCAAGGCCTTCAGCAGCTCCTCCTTGGCACTTAGCCTCTGCTCTGTCTCCTGCAGTTTGGCCGCAACCTGGGGGGAGGTGGGTTCCAGTCCTCTGTGGTCACAGGGAGCAGGGCTGGCCCAGGGGACGGCAGGCAGGAGGGACACCTGACACAGGCCTGGGCCAGGTGGCTGTGGCCGCAGTTTTTGGTGAGGTTTATGGTTTCAAATTTAGACATAAGTTGATGAGAGCCCAATGCCTGTCCACCTCTCCTTACTCTGGACATGAAGGCTGGGGCCTGGGAGGCTGACGCACACCCTGTATCAGCTCCTAGGACCTGCAGTAGGGTCCCGCTCAGTGTGAGGGCCGGGCTGGGGCTGGCGGCTGGGGGCTGGGGGCTGGCCCACACCTGCTCCCTGCCTGTGGTCAGTCCCTGGATCAGCTCCTCGGACCTGCAGTACTGGTCCCGCTCAGCGGAGTCACAGCGACGCTGCCAGTCCAGCTCTAACTGCACCTTCTCACGCTCCAGACTCTGCTCCCGGCCCATGGCTGCCACCAGCTGCTGCTTGTACCTGGGGGAGCCAGCTTCAGCAGGTGGGTTGCTGTCCCTCATCCCCCCCGGTCACATTCTCATGGTCACAAACCGTAACGTAAGATACTCTCAATGAAAACAGCAAGCCTCCTAGCACTACCTCCTCCCTCCCTCCCTTGCTGGGATCCGAGGCCTCAGTCTCCTGCCTCCCCGAACCTGTCACCTCCTGGCCTGCAGGTCCAATGCACAAGGGAGGCCTCCTTTGAACTCACTTCCTGTATCCCTGCTTACCCTCAGTGGATGCTCCTGAGGTTGACCTGGTAGGTTCAGCGCTGGGTCATCAGAACTAGACGGCACCAGCAGTGGGGAGACTCAGTAAGGACGCCAAGGGACAGTTACCTGTCGATGTCCTGCTGGAGCCGGGCAGACTGTGCTGTGAGCCTCAAGCCCTCTTCCTGCAGAGCGTGGACCTGCAGGTCCTTAGAGACCATCTCCTTGGACAGCTGAGCCACCTGAGCATCCCAACCAGACTTCAGAGCTGACGCCTCCTCTCGAAGTCTGCACCAGGAAGGCAGATTCGCTCACCCCATTCTGGTCACATGTCCACACACATACACAGACACACGTACACACAACACCCCCCCACAGACGTACACACACACATTCACACATCCACACACACATGTACACACATGTCCCCCCCAGACGTCCACACACACATCTACACACACGTCCACACATGCATGACTCCCTCCCCACCCCACACACGTGCACACTCTCACACGCCCTATCCTCACAGCAGTATCTCCTCCGGGGTTCAAGAGCCTGCTGGTCCCACCTGGAGGCCATGCCACTCACCGGGTGATGGCGGTATTGTGGTCTTTTGCAGCATCAGCCTGCTCCCACTCGGCCCTGCGCAGCCGCGTCTCCAGGCTCTCCGTGTGGGCCTGCAGCTCCCGCTCTCTGGCCTCCAGTGCCCGCAGCTGCTCAACGTGGGCCTCTCTCACTGAGGCCAGCACTGCATCCCTCTCCCTGGCCAGACGATCTAGCTCTTCATGCCTGGAAAACAGTGAACAAGGGGCTCCCAGGGGCTGGCCTGAGGGTCTCTGGCACCAGCTGCACTTTCTTCCATGTTCCCACCCTCCAGGGGGGTGACCTCGTGATCTGTGCAGGGATGTCCAGCCTACGTGCCCACCGCTCCTCACAGTTCTTGGTGCCAGGTGCCAGTACACTACCCAACAAATGGAGTTACACTCCACAACTGGGTGCTGGCAGGCCAGGGCTGAGCACAGGGGCCAGCCTAGGCGGGCAGTGCGTCCACCCCTCCAATCAGAGCCGCCTCTCCTGCAACGTCCCCAGCCTTTGAGTGCCCTGAGTCAAACAAGTGCCTCTAAGGAGGAAAACTTCAGTCAGTGTGGGTTGGAGTCCTGAAGCCTTCGCCGAAATGGCAACAGGGAGGAAAACACGAGCTCAGTCGTTGAGTGTGGCTTTCCCAGCGCCAGGGTCCCAGAAGCAGAGGCCGGCAGTATGACTGCTCCAGCTACTCCTCCCCCAGGGAGAAATCATTCCGCAAGTAACTTAGCACTTAGAAACAAAGTTCTATGAATCCACAGAGAAACACCAGAAGTCTACCTTTGTAAGCTCTCACAGTAACTCCAGTTACTGACAGAGGAAGTGAAGGGCAGACTTGACAAACCAGTGTCCAGACTGCTCAGGGAGCAATTCCACGGCACCCGGACCAGGGCCCCCCAACTCCTAGAGCAGCCTTGAGATCCCAGGTTATGACATGGGGCGAGTTCCCAGCAGGGAGCGCCCCCAATTCCACCCTCCTGTCCCTGCTGGGGACTGGTGATTTGAGCAGGCAAACATAGGCCGTTATAAAGGGTACCCCAAGACATTTTGTGTGGCACTATAGGATCAGCACTGGACTGCAAATCACAAGGTCAGCAGTTCAAACCCACCAGCTGCTCCTCAGAAACCCTATACAGGGTGGCTATGAGTCAGAACTGACTTGGCACTTAACAACAACAACACATTTTACTTTTTACGTAACAGTGTCTCACATTTGTTGTTGTTGAGCACCGTTGAGTGGGTTCCGACCCACAACCGTGTGGATAGGGTTTCTGAGGAGCAGCTGGTGAGCATAAACCACTGATCTTGTAGTTCAAATGGCTTTGCAGTCTGGTGCATTAACCCACAGCGCCACACCAGGACTCCATGTCTCAGGTAATAGTATGTTAATTTATGTAACACTATCTTACTTTACATAGTATGTTACATTTATGTAACAATGTTTCAGTTTATGGTGTGGTAATATTTACATAACAATGTTTCACTTTATAGTATGTGACATTTATGTAACAATGTGTCGCTTTATGGTATGTTACACTGTTTGGTACATTTAGAAACCTAGGCACTGGGAGCATGTTACTGTTCCCAGTTTACATGAACATCTTAGGTGACTGGTTTCAGAATCCTTCAACCCTGAGAGATCCATCCCTTCAGGGAGGGTGCAGGAAGCAGGAGCCGAGCTCAGGAGGGAGACCCCTGGCGGCTGGTTCACCAAGGTGCGTAAGTTACACAAGGTACACATTAAGGTGTAACTCACAGATTGAACTATATCCCCCCTAAAGATGTATCAGTTTTGCTGGGCCGTAAGGCGCTCTGGTGGCGCTGTTGGGTAAGCATTGGGCTGCTAACCACAAGGTCAGTAGTTCAAAACCACCTACTGCTGTGCAGGAAAAAAGCTGAGGCTGTCTGCTCCTGTAAAGATTTACAGCCTCAGAAACTCTATCCAGGGTCACCATGAGTCAGCATGGCTGAGTGGCAGTGAGTTTGAGAGTCGGGCTGGGCCAGGCTTCTCAGGTGGTTTGGTTGTTAGGTGATGATCGCCTATGATGTGATAAACCAGTAAGACAATTAAAGGTGGGCCATACCGCCTTTAATCCCATCACAGCAAGGGGGTTTCCTGGGGTGCGGCCTGCAACACCTTCAATTTACAAGAGTTAAAAGGAGAGGGACCACCAAGAACGAAGGGCTGGGAGTGGAGGGCGTCCTTTAAGCCTGGGGTCTCTGCATTGTTGTGAAGCTCCTCCATCCAGGGGAAGATTAATACCAGCAAGTAGGAAGAGCCTACAGATACCGAAGTGGTCAAAAATGAAACGGAACGCATCAACATCGACATCTTAGGCATTAGTGAG